GGCGGGGGCAGCGCCCCCTGCCGGCCGGCGGGCGTGGACAGCCCGGCGCCCAGGGGCCTGCTGAGCAGAGCTGGGGAACCGGACTAGCTCCGAGTAGGAAGGTGTTTGCCCAAGTTCATAGTTATTTAACCGGATTTCCTGCAAGACATCGAGCGTTTAATGGGGCGAGCAGGCATATGCTCCGTTTCCAAGAAACTTAAAAAGCGTCTGCTAGGGCACTTGTAAGGCATAATGACAGTACTTGAACTGCTTAAATGGCGTAGTCACAGCACAATGGGAAGATGGATTGGAAGACTGAGATAGGTGAGGCTGCTACTCCGGTAGTTAAAATTGTACTCGAAATGCTGAGTTTATTGAGAGATACTTATCGAAAACCTGCTGTGTGCCTGGGAATGTAGCGATGAAGAAAGCAGACACAGTCCCTGCCCTGCCTGGGGCACTCGCAGCCTACTGGAGGACTGTTAATTAAACAAGCAGACACAACTTAACAATGAATGTACACAGAATGTCCGATGGTTTAAGCACTTTGGGGGTTCCCACAGTGTGCTGGGGTACTTTGGGACCGTGGTATTTGTTTCTCGTGATTATTTAGTCTTGTACTCTTCAGATACACAAGTCTCTATCTCTTGGACATCCTAAGATGATTTCCTCTAATTACCTGCGGTATCTGGCTATCATCCATCTGTCTGTTGCACTTTGCAGTTTTATTATTAGTGCTCTGTGTTAGCTTTCCCTTACTTTGACGAAATACCTGAAATAGTCAACCTGAAAGGAGAAAAGGGTTATTTTGGCTCACGGTTTCAGTCCATGGTTGTTGGCCCTGTTGCTTTGAGCCTGTCATGGCCCAGTACAACCTGACGGGAGTCATAGTGGAAGAGGTCTGTTCACCTCATGGCACGGAGAAAGCAAACAAAAAGACAGGAAGGGACTGTCCTGCTGTCCTCTTCAAGCGCGTGCCCCGGTGACCGTACTTCATTCCAGGAGGCTCCATCTCTTGGTAGGTCCACACCTCCCAATAATGCCATGGGCTGAGGACCACGCCTCCAGTACACCGCCTTTGGGGGACATTTCAGATACAAACCAAGTGTGCCTCCGCTTCCTCACCTTGGAATCACTCTGCAGTTTGCCATCAGATCCTATATTACTTCGAAATGGTTCTCCAGAAAGTTAATGGTCACCTCCAGGAGATGAGATGAAGTAGGTCCTTTCCTTCTCACTTTTTACTAGATATGTTGGTGGTTGAATACTGCTTTCTTGAAACATTTTCTTTGCTGTCCCTTTAATGTATCTAAGTTCTCTAATCTCTTTTCTCCTTTGCGTATTCTACCCACATTTTTTTTTTTTTGTACCGAGAATTGAACTCAGGACCTTGCACTTGCCAGGCAGGCACTGTGCCACTGAGCTATATCCCCGGCCCTCTACCCACATTTTAAAACATTGAGTTGGCTTCGGCTTGCAGTATTGATGTTCTTTTCTCACCCTACAGACTTTCCACTTACCAGACTTGATGGTAGGTTATCACCCGTACTCCAGTTTTTGTATCCTGGACTGTATGCATTTAATAAGTTTACTGTGCATGTTGCTAATCACTGACAGTACAGTGGAGTCCATGTCCATGTGAGTGTTTTTTCTCGTAGTAGATACAAGTAATAAACCAGCATGCAAGGAACTGAACATGTAATTACATACTGGGGAAAAAAGTGATAGGAAGAAATGGGATGCTATGCTAGAAATAGCTAAGTTGTGTCAGGAAAGACTCTGAGACAGCATTTGTATTGAGATTTGAAAGCTGAGAAAGATCCAGGAAGGAGAAAAGCATTCCAGGAAGTAGAACAGGACAGAATGTGGTGGATATCTTTACCATTTGAGTGCTTGGAGTGCTTTACCTGGGACATTTTGACCTTTTCCAGAGGCTGGATTTTAAGGCCTCAGAGGAAGGGTCCTGAATATAAGGCTATTTTTGTATTTCCTAGATGTACTATGTATAGACAGCTCCAGACTTATGGTTTGATTTACAGTTTTTTGATTTTCCTATAGTGAGAAAGTGATCTACACATTCAGTAGAAACTGTAATTCAGGTTTTGATCTTTTTTTCTGGGCCAGCCCAGTGGGGTATGTATTTTCTCTGGAGATGCTGGGTAGCAGCAGCAGGCTGCAGATCCCAGTCAGTTCTGTGATTACCACTGATTCTGTTCACTGTACTGTATTGCTAATTGTGGTGTTTTGTAGGTTATTAACTTTTTTTACTTGCAATATTCTCAGTTTACTAGGGTTTATTAAACCTAATCACATCATAAGCCAGGGAGATCTGCATAGTTAACTCTCAGTAAACCTTTGAAGGAGATGGAGAATTGGCTATTTTTGAATGCAATTCATGTAAACAAGTTGTCTCAGGGGTTATGCCTAAATCTCGAAGGGGTGCAAAGGAAAAGTGTTTCAGATATAAACCAAGGTTAAGTTTTGCACTAGTTTTTTCACTTAGTTTTTATTCAGAACAACCAGTTACAAAAGCTATATATAGTTTTTTAAAAAAAGTTCTGTGTTTAGCAGATACCTATTTTGTTTTTTTTTGAAATGAAAGATTTTAATTTCTGTTATATTTAGTTAATGTTTAGGATTATAACTCAGTTTCAACATTTCGGCATTTTTCTTATTTCTCATAAGATTTCTCTCTTCTAAAAGCTTTTCCTGTCATGCTGTGCATTTTATTTGTTTTAATTGGATAGAATAGATTTCTAGAATTATGGAGAATATTTAGATGTTATCAATACTATGTTAACTAATTGACGTCTCTGTATTTTCATTAGGTTGTTAGAGTTCTATTAGTTTACTGGGTGGACTTGACATTTATGCTTGTGAAGTTCTTTTTTTTTTTTTTTTTGGTACTGGGAATCAAATTTATGACCTGGTGCTTGCCAGGCAGGCACTGTGCTGCTGAGGTATATCCCCAGCCCTTTATACTTGTAATAGTTTTTAAAATGCATATTTAGATTTGAGTGATCAGTAAGTCACAATTATTTAGGTATTTCCTTAAATAGTATTCATTTCTGTAAGTATTTTATTATAATTGTCTCCGCCTAGGGAGTTCTAGAATTGGGTTTGCTCAGGAAGTACAAACTCAATTTAACTTTTCAGCCAAATCTTGCTTGTTAGTCTGCACAACTTAAAGATGAGTAGAATATTCTTTAAAGGATCCAAAATTTACTTATTATTGTGAGATACAGATTTTATAAACTTACTCTTTTCTTTGTATGTGTCCTGTTTATAAAACTTGACCATATATATATATATATATATATATATAATATGTATATAATCTTTAGTTCCTTTTGCCTTCTCCTATTCCAAAAGATATCAGATTAATTTTTTTTGCATATAAAGAAATTTATCTCTACCAAATATATATTGTTAGCAGTATTTGAAATGAAATAAGAAGGCTACAGAAAACATTTGTTGAATTACTGTGTCGAGTTCAGTTGTGTACCAAAGATTTTTGGAAAATCCACTTCCAGGTGTTGTGCTTGGTGCATTTCTAATGAAATACAAAGGTAAGGGTTGACTGTGACTCTGGAGGGACCCAGGAGCTAGTAGGAAATTGCACATCCATTTTAATGGAGAGGCCTCAAAATAAAATTGGGTGATTTAGTTTTGGACTTCACATCCAACTCTGTCCAGGGTGAACAGATCCCCCAAACTAGGTGCCCTCAGATGTATAAGAAAAGTAAGAAAAACATCAAACCAAGAGACCCAAAATCCTGTGATCAGGTGCTAGCAGCCTGTAGGACTGACTGACTCCTGATTACCATCTTCAGTAACCTTTTATTCAGAACCCACCAAGGAGGCAGCAGAGGAATCCGAGAATATCAACTGTTTCATCAAGGACAATACAACTCAATTATCATAGCAATGCGACTGACCAGAAAGCCATCATGTTATCTTCCTTCGCACATATCTCAGCAAAGTATTGAGTATTGATCCTGAGGCTTACGATGCTTATGCTACACTTCCTCCAGAACCCAACAATCATGGCTAGGTCAGACCTCAGGCAACACACAAAATACTAACTAGGGAATGTCCTTCTCCACAATTTAGGATAGTGATGGCAAGCCCTTTAGAGCTTTCAATAACTAACAGCCTGCTGTGGCACATGTGCTGTAGGTTTGCCACCACTGATTTAGGGGAATGTTTTCAAGTTTCACTGCAATAAAACTGTTCTTACATACACACATGTGTACTGCAGGATGTATATAGAGTTTGAAAAACACTGAATTTTTGAGACTCTGAAGAAAATAGGAAGAAGGATCTAAAGTTTTTAAAGAACATATTTGTAAAATAACTTTGCTGAGGTTAAAATTCTTTTGTTTTTAAAATTTTATTTGTTACATAACATTAGAATGGGAATGTTCAATTATTTTTATATGCATTTGCTATCCTACAGAAATCTGTTAGGACACAGTAGGAATAAGAGTGGGACGATGGGAGGATGCATGTTTATCAGATTACTACTGTTTCTAAGACTGTGCCAGTCTTTAACTTTGCTAGGAAATCAGATGTAATATATATGTTAAGTATATTGTCTTTTTCTTCTTAGATCCCACATGATTGGCTTCTTTTTCAGATGGGCACAAATAGGGTGTTACAGGAATGTATCAGAGGGTGCGCCTAAGCCCAGGTGTTTTGTGAGTGGAGGGTGGGGAAAGATCAGAGAAGTCTTAGAAGTGACTTCTAAGGTTGGACAGAAGAACATTAAAAAAAGTAATGTGAGTGTGGATGTTCAGAATTTGATTAGGAATTTGATGAGATGTGGGGAAGTAGTGCGGTATTGAGGAAGGAATGCGTTCCTGGTAGAGGGATCAGGGTGTGAGAAGTATTGTAGTTGGAGTATTTTGCAGAA